AAAAAAAAAAAAGGAAGGAAGGAAGGACCTCTTCAGCACTCTGTATAATTCAAAATGCCACAATAATTTGAGATAAATAGAAATTTGTTAACCGAATTAATTTTAAGTATTTAGCATGTGTGTGCGTGTGTGTGTGTGTGTGTGTGTGTGTGTATTTAAGATTTTATTTTTTTAAGTAATCTTTATACCCAATGTGGGTCTTGAACTCACAACCCCGAGATCAAGAGTCACTTGCTCCTTTCATTTAGTATATTTTTGATGCTTGTGATACATTGATGAATTAAAAAGTGAGCAAAGCCTTCATGATGCTTAAAAGCCTTCATGATGCTTACATTGTAGAGCCCAAATTAAAAAACAAAACACACAAACAAACAAAAAAACTGTAATGTCAGGTGGAAATACACATGGGAAAGAAAATAATGTTGGTGAACTATGGGGGTGATAGCCAATACCAAGGCCACGCCTATGTAAACAGTACAACGGAGGCTTTTCTCTTTCTTTTACTGGCAAATTCCAAGGGTCTACAATGGGTCCTTTGAGGTTTGGTATTAAGAATGGACTGATTTAATGGAATAAGAAATAAGGGAAGACGCAGTTAGATAGCAGAACGAGCTCGCTGGCTCCAAGAACACTACGTATACATGTCCCCTGCCTCAAGAAAATCTAATACAAAGAATTTTAAAACCCATGTAAATTATGGAATGTCTATTTGCATGATAATGGAATGCTCTGTTGGACAAAAAAGGGGGGGAGAATCACTGTTGGATTCCATAAATAACAAAGCCAAGAGTGTATTTCCAAATCACCTTTTATACAAAAGGAATGTATTACAAAACACTGCTCAGGAAGGGCGTCTGGGTGGCTCAGTCAGTTAAGTGGCGGAGCTCAGGTCATGATCTCACAGTTCATGAGTTTGAGCCCCGTGTCAGACGCTGCTGATGGCTCGGAGCCTGGAGCCTGCTTCAGATTCTCTGTCTCCCTCTCTCTCTGCCCCTCCCCCCACTCGTGCTCTGTCTCTCTCTCTCTCTCTGTCTCTCTCAAAAAAATGAATAAACAGTAAAAAAAAAATTAAAACAAAAACACTGCTCAAGAGCACCTGTGTTGCATAAGCCGAGTAGCTGTATATTAGGAGAAATTCCTCAAGAAGTGGGCACTTGTCTTTTCCAAGACAATGATCGTTGTCTGGAGGCATGGCGACTTCACCATGACCTTTCAAAATCCTTCTTACCCCAGGAGCTTTAGATTCAAAGGGAAAGCCAAACCAAGCCTCTAGCTCCAGAGGGAAAAACAGAACAGTTGAAAGGTGTAACTCTAAATAAATAGCTTCTCTCATTCTTATTCCTGGTTGTTTGCACCTTAAAAATAGCTCTCCCTCATCTGAGCTAGCTTGAGGCGGACAAGGGAGGCCGAAACAGGAAATGCTTGGCTGAAAGGTGGTGGGGTCTAAACTTTCATCACAGTTTATTTTGGCAGGAAGGTGACATGTTTTCCTTTTTTAGACTCAACCTTTTTTAGCTCCAAGTCTGAAAAGTCCTTCAGACCTCTTCCCATTTTATTTGCTGTAACTGCACTGCTGACCTGCTCCCTGGCCCTGCATCCTTTTAAAGGGGAGACACTTTGACCACGCCTTCCCTTGGATTGATGCTGGGGTGTGCGCTTGAGCTCAGAGTTTTGTTTGCTTAATTCCAAAATCCGTGGGACATTTTATGTTTAGCAAGAAGTAGGCGATTCCGGTAGGAGGAAGCCAGCTTCTGAATTGGACCTCTGCCAGTTCATATAGGGGGTGCAAGCAGACGGGGGGTGGGGAGACCTTACCAGAACTGGGGAGTAGACAATGCAGTGCTAAGCTTCGAGCAGTGGGGGTCTGAAGTGGTAACGTGGCCACGCAGAGGCACTGGTCCTGGCTTCTCCCTGCCAAACACCACGTGTTCTACAGAATATCCTGGCCTCACCCTGAAAGTCATTTTAGTGCCTCTGGTTCCCTACACTGCCTGCCTCCATCCTATCCACTGGGCCACTGGCGTGAACCCCCATGGGCTTGGGGAGGAAGAACCTCTTCCTTCCTTTCCTCTCCTTCTCTTCCTTCCTTCCTTCCTCTCCTCTCTCCCTCCCTCCCCCTTCCTTCTCTCTCTTGCTCGCTGTCGCTCCTGCTGTTTCTCTCTCCCTTTCTTTCCCTTCCTTCCTCCCTTCCTCCCTTCCTTCCTTCCTTCCTCCCTTCCTTCCTTCCATCCTTCCATCCTTCCTTCTTCCCTCCTGGTGGAGATGGCTTGGCTGCTCTAAAAAGATAATTTTAACCTTCTAGGCAATAATAGCTGCTTGAAAAACCTCTGTCAACATCCACCTCTCTGTAGGAATCTTATCAGTGGGTGAGAATCACAGTACTGACTGAAGCCAAGGCCCCAGGAGTTAATCCGAGTACAGCAAGAATCAGGAAGGCTTCTTGGGTTTTGTTTTTGTTTTGTCTTTGTTTTGAGTTCTCCTCGTAGCTGACTCGCTACAAGTTTTCTCTTTACTTTCCCATCTTTTAAAGGGTGGTGAGCCTAGCACTAGACGTTTCTGGTAGTTTAAGCTATGGTCCCTAAAAGCTGTTCCAGAAGAAAAAGAGGAGGGCAGTGGAGCTTATTCTAAACCACTAAAGGGAGCTTTTGGGGAACATAAGAATCATCTGGAGAGGTAGGGAAGGTGAGTTGAAATGCAGATTTCCAGGCCGTCCTCACCAGAGATTCTATTCCTGGGGCCTGGGATCTGCCCTGGGGTGAGCTCCTCCACTAGTTCTGAGAGAGGGGATCCAGGACTGCATTTTGAGAAACTCTGTGAAGTGACCATGAGGGCGGTTGGCTGTGTTCCCATCTGATTGTGATGCGGGACTTTCCATAGTTAAAGATTCCCTTGATGTTGCTACAGAATATGGGCTTCAGGAGTTTTATCCACTAATGAATCATTTGAGAGGAAAGACAAAATTCTGCCTTCTATCACTTCAACTTTGCTCTTTGGCAACCTGCAGCCTCCACGCACCTAAGAAACCTCTCTCTACCCATCCCAACGATGTTACGTGACATGCACCACTTACTACATCAGGGGTTAGAAAAAGAAGGATGATGATATAATCCCCACCCTTTTACGAAACAAGACAGCATCCGTGTTGTGCCAAGAGCGTGGTCTTTGGCGTTAGACTGACCCCTGGCTCTCTTCCTTCATAGTTGTCCATCCCTTGGCAAGTTACTCAACTTCTCCAGGCTTTCGTTTCTCCATCTGTGAAATGGGAACAATCACAGCTGCCTCACAGAGTTCTTGTGAGAATTGAATACAACAGTCTACAGAAAGGATCTGGCCCGGAGCTGAACATAGCAGGGGGCTTAAAAAAATCAGTTCCTCTTCCTTGTTTGTCTTTCCTTTTCTCAGACTTTGTTTCGAAGGGCCTCAGCCCTGTTTGTGGTTCTGAACGTACATCAGATAGGCACGTACTTTATTGCTAGCACATCTGCTGTTCCTTTGAGCGCATGGCTCTCTCTTTGGTTCTACAAGAATTTTGCACAGAGTAGAAAAGAACGCTTAAAGTTATCTGGAAACCATATACACTGACACCTTTCTTAATTTCATTGGCCTTTTCCACTCTGCGTTTGTGTGCAGTGCCGTTTTATCCATGAGGCATTACGGGCAGAATGCCCAGGGCCTGCAAGAATGTTTGAGAGCCCAGATTAAAAAAAAAAAAAAAAATTGACTCCCAAGTATGACACACAAAGACTGCAAAGTGTAAATCAATAAACATTTACACAAATGTGCAGAAAGCCACTTAAGGTCAACCTCATTAATTGTTACATTTACGGCTCATAGCTATTTTATTATATTTGAAAACAATTTGTAGGTTAGATTCTTCTTGCTTTGCGAAGGTTTCTAAATATGCCCCGTGATTGCCAAGAACTCACAGGCAATTTTAAATTAAATGAGTTACTCATAGTCCAATCATTTGGAAAGCTAAACTGTGTGTATTTTTTAATGTTCTCAATTTTTTACAAGTGACAGTTCTACTTA